ACAAATAAATTTAAACCAGATTTCATTTAAATAAATAAACAAACCGTCTGAGCGAGCATAAATAAACAAACAGTCTGATTAAGTAAATAAACGTAGGACTCAAGGGCTCCATTAGACCTCGCTCTTCACTACTTACTCTCTACTTTGTTAGCCCTACTGACCACTTCATTCCTTCAGTCTTTTTACAGTCCTGGGCAAAAGTTTGAACACCCCCGAGCAAAGAACATGTTCTGGGAGATAGTAAGTGAAAATTAGCTAGCACGTCCTCTACAGAGAACCCACATAAACATGCTATTTTCCTACAAATTTTAGTGCACAATTACTTTGCTGACTTTAACATATTGGAAGTAAATAAAGCATAACATATGAGGTGTGCCATAACTTTTACACAGGCCAAAATTTATATATATTTATTATTTTCTGTTATGTTAAATGTGTAACCCAGCAAAACGTTACTTGTTTGGGGTGCACCCACTTTTGCACAAGTCTCAGGTAGTTATAAAACTGGGTTAGATCTGTTTACATATATAACATCAGATCTTCTTTGAGATCCTCTTCCTTCAAGAAAGCATAAGAACAATGTGGTGTTTTCAGTACAGTATTGAATGTTGGTCAGATGAATACAGTCAGAAGATCACAGGTTTAGTTCCTGACCTCTCGCTGCTCTCCAGCCTGGATTTATTAAATTCCATCAGCAGCACCTGATTTAATTTAATGAAGGATTAATTAGATAAAAGAGGTGTTGGACGATAACTGTAAACACTGAACGTCCTCAAGGAAAGATCTGGAAAGGTTCATATACCAAACTGAAACACATCAAATCACAACAGATTGTTTATATGTGTGTGTTTATTCTAAAGTTACGTGGATAAAGAGATTTCCATATGATTTTCATAGCTGATGTGATGCCTATATATAACAACACTGTGACAAAACCTTGTATCTCCAATAATGTAACTTTACAGGAGAAGAAAAAAGTGAATATATATTCACTTTGACAAAACCTCTTACCTCTATTTTTGTCATTTTTCATTTCTGAATAAAATTGAAAAAGCCAGCTGCCCTTTATATTGTATTATGGTGAAGAGACCAATAGAAATGTTCCCAATATTCCTTGGAATAAGTCATTTCTCCATTAATTTCAATTAAAACTTAAGAACATTTTTCCCTTGTTCTGTAAAGTTATTTAATACTAGATTTTGTTCTGACGGCAATGATATATATATATATATATATATATATATATATATATATATATATATATATTATATATTTACATTTTGGTCATTTTTCAGTTCTTGGCATAATTTGAAAGTGTCTGTTGCTCTTTACATCGTGTGTAAATTTCGTGATGAAAGGACAGAAAAGAAAAGACCCAAAAATGACTTGGAAAAAAGTCTGGTTCCATTGACTTACATTAAAATATATATATATACACCTTCTATTTCCAAAACAGTAACCTTTGTAAATTATAATGAAAGTTAATGTAAATAGTCAGTTTCTACTGGACTATTTATCACAATATTTATCACAATATAAATAGTAACTGGTGTTTTTAAATTATAAAAAACCTAAAAAATGGAGATACAAGCTTTTTGCGTGACATATATATTGTATGCAAAAGTTTGGGTGCCCCTGATCAAGTGACGCAATTGATATTTTGTTGATTTTCTGAGTGAAAATAACTTACACATCCTCTACAGAGACATGGTTCTGCACATCTGCTGAATTTAACATACTGGAAAAAGTACAGTGTAAAATGTGGCCTGTGCAAAAGTTATGGCACATTTTATATTTAATGTTTTATTTTTCCCAACATTTGAAACAAAAATTGTGCACTAAAATTTACAGAAAAATGCCAAAAATGCCCTGTATGACTGGGTCCTCTGTAGAGGGTCTGTAACATATTTACACTTAGAAAATCAACAGAACCTGTAATTTGACCGGGGGTGCCCAAACTTTTGCACACGACTGTAAATATCAACACAAATAAATTTGAAAAGATTAAAACAGACAGAATTTATGAGAAGTGAAATGAAGAAGAAATGTTCACGATTCTGCACTAGTTCTAGATCACTGTTCTAACGTCGAGGCCTCCGTCCTGAGGAGTCAGACTGTGTTTCAGTCTCAGCTCCTCCAGTGAAGCCTGACGACGCTCAGGTGGATCTGATCTGCTCATCAGAGGCACAAACAGGTGGAGTTCATGCAGCTCGAGTACACGCTGTCATTAAAGCTGAAAAGGGACGCGCCACCAAATGCTGAGAAATTCTAAAATTCAAGTTAAAATTATGATAATTTCCAAGATTTTACTCATCATTCAGATTGTTACGCTGATCATATAATTTGAAATGGAAAAATGTAGTTGAACTGAAAAGATGTATTGAACGTACTGAATTCAAAATTGAAAAGAATGCAAAATAGAAGCATTTTCACTACTGCTTAAGACTTTTGGACTCCACTGTATATATAATATATCCACTGTCAGACTAACATCGTTATGTGAGCAAACCTAATGATAATGCAGCTCAGCAGGCTCAGTGTGGGTTTAATTAAGTTTAGTATTAAGTAGTAACGGTATGTGGGACAAGACTGATCATTTTTATTGCCCCGAATTTACTCTTTTTGCTCTCAAAAATGACCAAATTTCTCTTTGGACACACTGTGATAATGAACTGAGTTTAAATTAAACTAAAAAATCTCAGAATCAGTCACAGTAACCATAAACAGAGATATTCAGAGCTTTGAGAGACGCGGCGGGTATCTGTGTCTGTACTGAGGCCTTCAGCTCACAGCCTGATTATTAAAGCTCTGTGAGCAGCACAGAGACCTGTCACTCCCAATTTAGTGAAAAATATTAGAATCACAACAAAAAAAATGATGATTTGCTTCCATCTGAGGGAAAAACTGAAAGTGAAACCGTCACTGACACTTTTCTTTATTGAATTAGCTGCTAAAAGCTACAGATCCTGCCTCTCTTAAGAAAGCAAGCAAATCTGCCAAGCTGGACATTTCTGAAGTAAGATTTTACAAAATAGTTGCTTGATGTTTTTACGGAGGATTTATATGAAAAATAGCCCAAAGCAGTCTCATTCAACATAAATGCCTTCATACAGATGAGCGCAGTTGCGAGTAAGATGCGTCCGGTTTGTCCAGATCGGACTGCATTCTCATTTTTTCCCCTTTAATTCCCTAAAAAAAGTATCAACACAACAAAAAAACATTTCCACATTCATATTCTATTGTCGCTTCAGAGGCACTTTAAGGCAGGTAATCAGCGCATTGGAGGCCTGTAGAGTAGCTGATCAGGTGGGAATGCAGACCAATCTTTAAAGCTTTGTAATGTATTTTTTTATGTCTGTATTATTTTTTCGTGCAGCAATGTTCAAACCCTGGTTTCCCAAAAACGTCTTAGTCTTAAGGTTGTCTTAACTAGTAGAGAGAGTGTTCAGTGTGAAGCTCGCTCTACCGTTTGTGCTAAGACACTTTCAGGAGACCCAGCCCGGTTTATTTTTAGTTTCCCGAAATGATTTGTGTCTTTATTTTTTAAAAATCTGCTTCTGTTTTCATATATTTTAGCTTGAGTTGTAGTTTTTTTACTGATAATAATTCAGCTCGCAGCCTTAAACACAGAACACAGCATCTATCAGTGTTTCATGGGCCTGAAGGTTCTTCTCTCGAGTCATTAGAGCTTATTTCTCACAGGTTTTTGTAATTGTAAATATAACCGCACACTCAAAGGCAGAACAATGGTACATGAGGTCGCATCGTGCACCCTAAATTAGTTTTGAAGGGTTCAGTATATTCACGTTTCCAAAAAGAAAGGTGTGCATTTGTACTTTTTTCATAAGTTTACCAAATAGGAAAAGAAATAAAAAGCCAGGAGGACAGGATGTAGTCATAAGTCTGACCACCCCCGGTCTAATGATATCTTTTGTTGATTTTTTTTAGTGAAAGTAAATTAATCCATTGAAACACACTGAAATATGGCATTTTTCTGTAAACTTTGGTGCACAATTTCTGTTTATTTGCTGAGTTTAACATATTGGAAAAAATAAAATATAATAGAAAAGGTGCCCTAACTTTTGCACAGGCCACATTTAATGTGTTTTGCCCCCAGTATGTTAATTTCAGCAAATAAACAGTAATTGTGTATTAAAATGTGCAGAAGTTTGTCTGTGTAGAGGATGTGTAACTTATTTATACTTAGAAAATCAACAAAACGTGATTTCACAAGGGGTGCACAAACTTTTGCATAAAAATATAATAGTCACAGTGGAATGCGGTACTATTCTCTGACTGAAGGTACTGAAGACAGACCATTGAGGGGACCACCGCAGTGACAGCGTTTGCACCCTGAAAAGATTTCCAAAAGTGCTCTTCACTTTTTACATGTTTATAACATGTTTATTACTTTCAGCTTTTGTTTTAGTTTTAGTGTGTTATAATAACTCTGCTGTGGAGCAGTGCTCTAAGCATTAAGGTGCTAGATAGACAGATAGAGTCATATTATGTGACTTTATCTATCTATATATCGTTGCCATCAAAAAAAAAAATGTTGAATGGACCAATAGAAATATTCCAAATTGATGTGGAATAAAATCTCTTTACATTAAAAGTAATTAAAAGCCTTTTCTTAAACTTTCTCAAACTGTAAAGTTACTATTTTTTCAATATTTGGGGTTTTTTGTTGTTTGTTTATTTTCTTTTAGACGTCAACAATTTGTAATATATTATATTTATTATATTTTTATTAATATCCTTTTTAATGGTATTGTATATATATATATATATATATATATATATATATATATATATATATGATAAAAAGCACTTTTAACTGCTCTTCTTGAGTAGTATACACAATGTTTGTTATAAGGCATTTATTATAAAGTTATTACTATAGTTATGACACACGAGCTCATGTTTTTACTCTCAGAAACAGATTAAAAGTAAAATAACCCCCAAAAAACTAAAAGCCCCCCATTGCATGGCCAGCTTACTGTCTTGCTGCGCGGTGTCGCTGCCGCTGGTCAGTCCGGGCGACTCCAGCATGTTCCTGCCCGCCTCGGCGGCCCCCTCGTCCCCCTGCGCTCCCACCATCTCCCTCGCTTCCTCCAGGTCCAGCAGGTGGCTCACCGAAAAGTTCTTCTTGGCGTGTAAATTGTCCAGATGATTGGCGGTGATGGGGCTTTCCAGGCGGTTGGGCAGCACGGCCGGTCTGTCCATTACATGCGCATAGCTAGAAGTCATGACGTAGACTGGACCTGAGAGAGAACGGAGCTGGTGGTAGAAGATTCCTCAGAATGCTCCTCGCTTACAAAAAACATGGATTTGTTCAAGGTTGTAAACATAAAACCTTTGTTTTTGATTAAAAAACTTCCTTCTTCTTCGTCTTCGTCTTCGTCTTCTTGCTGTTAGAGATCCAAAAGCTCTGAGCTGAAAGTCCGTCCCGCTCAGAAGAGCCCGGCAGAGAAGTTTGTGGTGGTAACTTCAAAAAGCCTGAGCTGCTTTTCTGTTTCTGAAGCTGAAGTTAAAGTCCTCAGAGAAACCATTTGCCTTCTTCAAACACTTCTGGACTTTACAACACAAATGCAAATGGTCTCCCCACTCTCTCTCTCTCTCTCTCTCTCTCTCTCTCTCTCTCTCTCTCCTGGGTATGGAGCTGCTCCTGCTACTTCAAACAACTGCGAATGTCTGGCACTAAAGTGTGGGGGGAGCTTGAGAGGAAAATAAATGAGCGTTTGAAGCCCCTGGGAGAGTTGATGGACGTACAAGAAGCCCTAATTACGTGGCAATGTGGCTTTTTTTTGTGCTGTTTCTGACGTTTTACAGAGTTCCATCTTTCGCTCGTGCGCAGCGTTCGCCACCACACAAGCAAAACACTGCAGGAATCGGGAAACACGGTTAATAAGAACTTCAAATGGGGTTAAAAGTGGGACTCAGAGGGGTTTCATGTTTTTTTTTGGCGGGTGGAAAGTTGTCAGTTCAAACTTAAACTTAAAATCAGAGATAAGAAACGTAAAGCTGTTACATTTTAACTCCTCAGTGAAGAATAACTCCGCATTGTTTTCCATGAAGGTACTAAAAGCATTAGGATGTAATACTTCTGGGACTTTAAGGGGTTAAAAGGGGAATTCAGCCTATTTTGCAACTAAATTTCAGCAAAATACTGTTGTTGAGATGAAAATGATTGATTTCTTTATGGTGGTGGTGATAGAAACCAGGGGTCGGCATGTCAACAACACAAATATAGCCATTTTATTTACTGTTTAAAACCACCAGTGAACCTACACGAGTCTTCTGAGTTTTATATGGAATGTTGATGATGGTGAAATAGTGATAAATGTGGAAAAATAAGTTTTCTTCGGGGGCTGTTTTGCCTCGCAAGGCCCTGCATGTATCCCTCCACCATAAGTGCATTTTAAATATACATGTTTTAGCTCAAAATCTTCTCAAAACTATCATATAACAATGTCTCAGACATCAGGCAGTGCATTCATAACCATTTCGGTAAGGGAACTTTCCGATGCATTAAGGGAGAGTTTCACAGATTTTTCAAATATTCAACATAATTAAATGGTTAAGGTGTAAACAGAGTGGTTTGGTGTGAAACGCTCTGTTCTAGAGAAACTTACAGAGTCAGAACTGTTCACAGTGGTGGTGATAGGAACCAGACGTACACCTCTAAAAGCTCCCTCACAGAAAGTTACTACATGAAATGGTTATGAATTCACTGCCTGATGTCTGAGACACTGTTTTATTATAATTTTCAGAAGATTTTGGCCTTAAAATCCAGTCATGGTGGAGGGATACATGCAAGGTGTTATGAGGCAAAATAGTCCCCAAAGAAAACATATTATTTTCAAATTTTCCACTATTTTTCCATCATCAACATATCATATAAACTCAGAAGACTTGTGTAGGTTCACTGGTGGTTTTGGACAGTAAATAAAATGTCTATATTTGTGTTGTAGTCATGGCGACCCCATGGTTCCTATCACCAGCACTGTAAAGACATCTGAGTCTCTACAATCAACCATTTCACACCAAACCACTCTGAATGACTCTGTTTACATTTTACCTAGTACAACATGTAAAAGGCTTTAGCGCAGATGTCAGCATCAATTTCAATAACATTGACCTCTTACATGGCCAGGACCCACCAGCAGGCCCAAAGCTGTACTACACACTTCTCTAACCTAACAGTAACTCAGCCAGTTTGCACTGAAGTCCCTGTAGTTACTGAATAATAAGCCTTTGTGTGTAATAAGCCTAAAATATTAAGGGTTTAAAACATATAAAGACAAACACATCTACAAATACCAGGATGAAAATGTGTCATCCGTCTCAAATCTGTGCTTGAAAGATGGAGGTGTTATTCATTCTCAGCTGACTGAGCAAATGATTGATTTTCAAATTATGACCAACAAAGTGGAGTTTTCCAGTCTATCTGACCCTGAATGGGCAAAAATTAAATCACGTGTTGATGGAGTCCACATGTAATTCGGACGTTATGAGCCTAATAAAGAACGGCATCTGCTCATGTGTCAAGTTCACTGTTAAAGGACAAGTCTAATGTTTTTGAACCAAGACCTTATTAAAATTGTTGTTTCCCTTCATTCACAGTATTTATATTATGTTTGGATCACCCTCATTGACAGCTTCAGTACTGAGAAAGCTTACCATCTCTGCAGCTTCACACTCAGATTGAAGGGCCAACACCATGGAAAACTGAACTGGAGTTTTATGTCATATGAAAACTTTTTTAAAGTCATCCTCCACTCTATACAGTCCATATATGGAAACTATGCTGTGAAAACAGCTTGTTTTGAATTCACTGTTTTTGTGATGTCATACAGTTCATCACATTTACATGTATCACATATATCTGCCTATTCAGCCTACAGCAGTTCAGCTCCTCCCACTCACACCAAAGTTGTAAGGGGTATTTCTCCCTGGGCTGTATTGTGAATGAGGCACAATACAGGACAGCCAATCAGAACAGAGCTCATTTACATATTTCAGTCTTAAAGGCACAATAACAGAAACAGCCTGTTTAATTCTAAGGGATAAAGAGAGGCAACATAAAAATGAATTATGACCATTTTATGGTACATAACACATGCACTTTGCACTGTTACTGTATGTTGTGTCCTAGCATTATTGCTCTATTCGTATTTGCACAGACAGTTACTGTACATGGTTTTACTCTGCATACTCATCTTTTTACATATGCTGCTCTGACAGTATATACTACCTACATTTGCATTCTCTCCACTCGCTCTGTATATATATGTATATTATATTTATACTTGCAGTATCTATATTTCTACCACTCTATCGTCCGTAGTTGTACATATTGTAACTGTCATTTGTCAGTAACTTTCTTGCGCTTTGTATGTAAATAATACTGTATTTTGCATTTCTGGTTAGATGCTAACTGCATTTCATTGGCTCTGTACCTGTACTCTGCATAATGACAAAAACATCAAATCTAATCTAATCTAATCTAATCTAATCTAATCTAATCTAATCTAATCTAGTCTAATCTAATCTAATAAAGCAAACTTTATAAGTGGACCTAAATTAAATCCAAGGATAGTGTAGAAAATGGGCCCATTAAACTTTAGTAAAGCATCTTCTTTATTAATAAAAGGGGGAAACTCACATGTTTATTCATGACATGCTTTGAATAACAATATCACATTTATTTTTTGAAGAAAAAATTTAAAAACACTACAAATTTCTTTACACTGTAAAGGGCCCATATCCTACATCCTCATTGCAATTTAATTTTTCCATAGGGGTCCATTTATGAATTTGTCCAGGATTATGTATCAAAAACAGCCATACTTCATTTTTACATGACCTTTGTTCATCCCTTAGAATTACACAGACTGTTTGTTATAGTGCCTTTAAGACTGATGTATGCAAATGAGCGCAGGCTGAAAAACTCCTCAGAACTGCAGTGTCAGTGGGCGGAGCTAAACTGCTGTCCTCTGAATTGGCCAGTATGTGTAAATGTGTTTGTTTTTGCAACATCACAAAAACAGTGAATTCAAAACGGACTGTTTTTGGAGCTTAGTTTCCATATGTGGACTGTGTGGAAAGAATAGTATGTTTTTAAAACTTCAACAATATTTTTTGTACCACAACTATTTTATTAAAATAAAAAGCAAGGAAAATTACATTTTTGGCAAAATAAAGGGAAAAACTTCCAAATTCCATGTGAAAACATGCTTGACTTTACTGCAAGTTTCTTTAAAAAAAAAACAGGAAAGGTTTTATTAATTTAGTTATCAATGTCTTTGTGGGTTTCAGCGAGTGCCCCATAGGACTGTGTGTAACTCCAGTATGAATTTTCAGAGAAATGGGGATTTTCTCAGTACTGAAGCTGTGGGCGAAGTTGGGCTCTGCACCACCATAAACGATGGGAAACAACAATTTTAATAAGGCCTGGGTTGAAAAACAGTGCACTTATCCTTTAAGCGCTCTCTCTGCGGACACAAGTGGATGGAGCATGTGCTGCAGTGACATGAGTTCAGCCTCCCCCAAACCCCCAGCCTCCCTCACCCCCACCCCCCCAGGTCTGGGAAAAAAAACACTTTATGCCATCAAAGGGGCGCAGATTGAATCCAGATGTGCGGTGCCTCTCTCCGTCTTTCCGTGCATTTAATTAAGGAGCTTGGATTGAGTAGGCCTCGACTTTTCTTCATCATTAGTTTTCTCTCCAGATCCAGTTCCTCTGTGCCAGCGCGATGCTTTCGCCCTTTTTTTCTCCCTCTTTGCTCATAAATCAGCGCCGTATCAAAACGCGGAGTTCCTGCGAAAAGAGAGAGTTTTTCCCTTTCTACACACAGCAGAGCTCCTTCAGACTCTGTCTGGAACACAGATCTAATTATGTCAAATAAAGGTTATTGATGGGATGCATGGGACAATACATAAATCAATCATTATTACTGAAAAATTACCCAGCTTTAGCTCAATGTCTAACTCAAAATTCGTCCAATACAGCAGATACCGAATAATAAGCTTTAGTAAGTCACAAGCCTGAGGGGTTAAAGGGGAATTCCACCTTTATTTAAAGTTCCTCCATAATTTAGTGGTTGAGATGTTTCTGTATTTGTACTTTGTGTCTGCAATTTTGTCTTTTAAAGGAGAAAACCAACTATGTTTCAAAAATTATGCATAACTCCGTGGTTGAGATGCATTTTATATTTGTACTTTGTAACAGCAATTTTGTCATTTAAAGGATAATTCCACCTATTTTTAAACATTTCTCTATAATTCAGTGGTTGAAATGTATCTGTATCTGTACTTTGTGTCCGCAATTTTTGTCTTTGAAAGGGAAATCCCACCCATTTTTCAAAAATTCTGCATAATTCGGTGGTTGAGATGTTTCCGTATTTGTACTTTGTATCTGCGATTTTGCCTTTTAAAGGGGAAGTCCAATTATTTTTAAAAATGTCTCCCTAATTCAGTGTGTGAGATGTAATCAGAGTGAAATGGTTCAGATTTCTTTACAGTGGTGGTGATAGGAACCAGGGGTCGCCATGACTACAACACAAACATAATGTATAGGCTGTATTTTTTTCCTAACATAAAAAGATAAAAGTGGACAAAAGGCAAGGCAAGATTATTCATATGGCACATATAACAATGTTCATAAAACAGCATAAAATAGATAAGAAATGAAAATCAAGGACATTGAA